AGTCCGAAAATTCAATTTGGAGCGTAGTTCGAATAACTACATATATGGTATATAAATTTACATGTAAATTATTTAAGCATCTAAAATTCCCATCTTCGATCGTTACAAGCTTTCGATTAAAAATAAGAAACCAAATCTAGTTTTCTACGTATGATATAACAAGATTTTGATTGATTATAAAAGAGAGAGATTAGTAATAAATAATTTAATCTACATATAAATGCGCGGGTTCTGCATTAAAATAAAAGATTTTTTTAGAGCTTTCACTTTGTTGTAGAGAATTTTTGTTTCTAATAACACAAGTGTTGCAATGATTAAATATTTTCTTCAACTAAATTATTTTATTATATTAACTATATAAACGTTTGCTCATAACCAAACAAGATTAGTTGATTCAATCAAATTGATTCTTTAGTGATTCTGTAGTGTACAAATACGTAATAACATATTTTTATAAAAAAAAAAAAAAATAGGAGGCTTATCATTTTTATAATACAGTCTGTCTAGTAAGAGCGTGGTAGGCCTATCTCAAAGAAAAATGACTTATTATAGCCTTAAATTTATATTGATTGTATTCAGTAGGATTATGGCCAAAATGCAATTATATTAATGAGTCCAGTCACCAGCTGCGTCTATAATAGACCACTAAAGAAATAACATATTCACGTAGCAAAGACCTCCAGATTCGTCGAATTTCGTTTTTTAAGCGCTTCGAAGTCGATATCGGTCTTCCACAAAGCTTCCTCTTGAGTGTCCACACATTTCCAGTGGGATTCGCATCGAGTAATTGTAAAGGCCAGTGGAGTGTCTCGATGTCATTTCCCTCTTTCCGAGACGTGCAGAGCCGGCTTCGGTGTTTGGGGTCATTATTCTCTTGGAGTAATCAATCTTTATCTTTACTGATCAACGTTGGGTAGACGGAATCAAAGCTTTTTGGTATATTTTTAACATTTTCTCAGCATTCAGATTGTCAGTAAAGAGATAAAGCCTGCTTCGAAGCGAAACGCATAGGCAGCACTTATTTTGAAAATTTTTATTCTAATACAATTCAAGCAACAATGGGTACTTTGCTTATAATGCATGCACAAAAGTAACATCTTTCGGCGAAAATAAAAATTCAGAGTATATCTTTACTCGACTGTGGCCTCGCTACGCTCTTACTAGACAGACTGTAGTGGAAAGTATGCCTCGGAGGTGCCAGTCTATTATAGGCGCAGCATGATGACTGATTGTATATCTCAATTTAGTTTTATTACATTAAAGTAGGATGCTTATCTTTTATGTAATATTTCAAAGTATAATTGTGTGAGACATATTTATAAATTTTACTGGTTCATGTTTATAACATTTCTGTATTAACATAACTAATACGAATACGAAACCTATAAGAGTCTAACTAGATCTTAGTTGCTTATATATAATTTCGTGTGAATTTATATACTGATATATGTAGTCTTTCTGTGCGCCGAACAATTGTCGGTTTTGCAAAAGGGTCATTTTTGCTTCAATGTTGAATAATTCGGAGAAAAAAAAATCGTACGGAGCTTCGTAAAAAAAGCAAATTAAAGATAAAGATTCGCTCTTTCAAATGATGTAAATCACATTTGTATAATTTTTAGTCCGCCCCGTGGAACTGCGCAAATTTCGTAAAAAATTTTAAGATCTGATACATCTTCATTCATGTTTGTGTAACTTCATAAAATTCCCGTGAGACCATGTTTTTTCAAGTAGCGATCTGAAAAGTAGAGGTTTCAAGCTGTAAAATGCTTTTTTAAACATTTCGATATAACGAAGTTATTCTATTTTGAAATTTGCCTACTTTTGCAAAGTGAAACAGGTGTTACGTTAATTTTGTTGGCTAGCGCATAGATAATAAAACTAGAAGATAGTTTATAATATGTTCATAAAATTCATAAGTATATTTCATGACTACATTAAATATATCTCATGATTATACTTTGAGATATTATGTAAAAATGATGAACTTCAATAAAAACATAGTCTTTGATTTAAAAAGTTTTATTTTGCATTTCAGCATTGCGCAATCGAAATTGTATTCCTAGGCTAACCATTATTTTTATGTTCCACTTTTTTAAATATTGTATCTTACGTCTTAACATTATTTTTAACATTATTCTATATCTATCTTTTAATTTATTTAATTACTATTATTCTAAAGTCAAGAAGCTTTTTTCTACATTTTAATTGTAACTTATTAATTTTGATTGCAATATATTAGGCTGTATTTTACAAGTCTGAAATTCTTTTAGTTACTACGGTTCAGTATCAATTTTCAGTTTTATTCTTCTTTTTTAACCTATTGTGAAGAAATATTACATCAGTTACAAAATATTTTTTTTACATAAAATATTATTTGAATTTCTTGTTATAAACAATTAAATTTCTTATTAATATATACGATTTATATTGTAAAAAAATTTAAATTTTGATACCTTAATCTATTTGCATATATCATTCCAGACAACAAATTTAAAATAGATAAAATATTGTACCTATTCTGTTATTAAAATTATTAAACTAAAGTATTAAATTAAATAATATTAAATTAATGAATATCATATATTTTTCTCTGTTTATAAAATAATTTAATTCAAATTTTATGAATCAACAACAACACACACACACACACACAACACACACACACAACAACACACACACAACACACACACACACACAACACACACACAACACACACAACACACACACAACACACACACACACACAACACAGAATAGATCGCGTCATGTGTTGTGAAGGACGTAAGGCTTTCTTTTAATACTCACTGACAGTGATACGAAATTGAGCCAGAATTATAAAACTTCCGGATTTATGTTTCTCATATAAACTGTAATTAATGTACTTATACTATACTTATACTGAGATTCTCGTATAATTCCTTTTAGCTCTTCTAGCTAATTATTGATTTTTTAAAATATTATTTGAAATATTGAGTATTCTCTTAATCTTTCTTTGAAACTATGTTAGAGAATAATATCAAATTATAGAGAATGATTAAAACTTATAAAACTGTAAAGTCAACAATAATAACATATTTATGCATGTAATACATACATAGTTAAGTTTGCTACGACGTTTTTTTATCTTTTAAAGACAACTAATTTAAGTTCTGCGTTAATTAATAAAATAGATATTAAAAATAAAAGATATAAATAATTTATAATATGTTGGTAAAATTTATAAGTATATTTTATGACTACATTAAATATATCTCATGATTATACTTTGAAATATTATGTAAATGATAAATTTGATTTGAATGAAGTGATAAGCTTTCTATAATAAATAACATTATTTATATTAATTCAAAATTATTTAAAATTACTGTAATTTAAAGTTACTGATTCAAAATTATTTAAAATTAGTTAATATATCATTGTTCATTATCATATTGCTCGTGTTATATAAAGCATTTTTCTTATTGTGAAGAAATATTACGTCTTGTTATTCCGTTAGTTTATTTTCTACTTGCAATGTAGCTAATGTTTTGATCCGATATTTTAATTTGTGTTGCATTTTTCCAGATAAAAAGTACATAATAATAATCGTGTAACAAATATAATCAAGATTTATTAAATTGAAGAATATTTTTGTATATTGAAAATCAAGAAAATAAAAAAGAATCAGAAAAATATGTGTAAGTATAAGAGTGCTATTTGACAAAAAAAGTTATTTGTTATGCTCTTATGATAAACTTATTATGTGAATGAGCACAACATACAAAATATAGCAAAATAATATTAATTCTTTAATGTTGAGAATATTTAGTTATGATAAAGATTATATTTTTGAACGGTATTTAATAGAAAAATTTTACATTTAATTGTATTTTACACATACAAATACACACACAAACACTTATATTACGTTATATTTTAAATATGAAATTTTTGGATCTTTTCTATCATCCATCGTAAAAAATTATAAAAGAATAAACGAGTGCAAAATACTATCTAATTTATTTCGGTAATTATTCAGAATAGGGGAGGCAGCACCGATAATCTTGATCTTGACATATGTTGTCAAAGTCATAACCTTGTGTAACCTCCAACAAGTTTTAGCCGTTGTTCGTCCTTCGTTAAAAAGTTATGAACAAAAGAAAGTTTCAAAAATAATGTCTTATTTCTGTTATATACACAATATTAACTACTATATATTCTGCACACATGTTTTGATTTTCCACGCAAAGCGACTCTAACTTCCTTCCCCCTGCAAAAGGACGCACAATTTCCATAATTATACTGTTATACGTGAATTTCAACTTTCCGCGTGAAGATGTTTCTCACATCAAAAAATGAATAGGATTAGGTTATTTTTTACAGTAGTAGAGCTATTAATACACTTTAAAACATAAAGCGACATGGAAGTTGCGAAATCCTTCGCAGAGGAAGAGGTGAGGTGAGAGTCGCTTCGCGTTAATACAGTAAGTTCCGCCCCCTCTGCGGGAGAGGCTCCACTATTGTTAAAAATAACCTAATCTAACCCATTTCTTTGGTGTGAGGTAGCTCTCGCTTCGCGTGGAAAAAATTCAACTATATAACACGAGAATTTCCTGCTTTAAAAATAAAAGTATTCGCTAATTGTTCGCTGTAAGAAACTCAGCCTCTCGATGACCTTGACCTAGATATATGTTGTTAAGGTTATAATCCTGAATGATTCTTTATTATCTTGATAACATATTTTAAAGCAGGGAATTTTCGTGTTATATAGTTAAATATAGTTAAACTTTTTTTGTTCATAATTTTTTAACAAAGGACGAGCGACGGCTAAAACCTATTGGAAGATTATGACCTTGACATCATATATCAAAGTCATCGATGCTGCCTCCCCTATTCTGAGTAATTACCTTTATTTCTTATTAAATTAATATACCATATTTGTAGGAAGATATATGTGTGTGATCAGTTAAAATATATTTATTTAACTTTTTTACAGTTATATTTTTGACAGCGGTTGTTATAATGCTGTTTATAATATTTATTTTTAAAGCTGATAAGAAAGAATTCTACAAATTAAAAAGAAATTTAGAATTTGCTATTTCGCTACCTGGTACATCTATATTTTCATCCTTTATTGATTCATTACAAATTGCTTGCAGTTATAAAGGTGAATAAAAATGACTTTAATTTATAATTTTAAGATAAAATATCTATTTAAGTTGAATTTCATTTTGCATCAAAATATTTACAGCGAATATACTGTTTTATATGTTTGATACAAACAATAATTTGCAATACTATTATTTAGGTATAACTATTGATTAAGTTTTCAAAATTATTTTCTCGAAAATATCTTACAGTTTTGCAAATAATAGTATAAGTAAATGCACAACATTTTACAGAATTAATCAACTATGTAGATGCAATTACTAAAAAGTACGGAAAGATTACACGTCTTATCATAGGTACAAATGTATTTGTTGTACTTACGAAACCTGAAGATTATAAGGTAAGTTTTTGTAAAAAGATAATAGTTAACGAGAAAAAATTCATTGACTTAAATGTGCAGCTTGTACTTACGAACGTAAATGGCAACTACAAATATTCAGTGACCCAGACATGGGAGGCATTACTTGGTGACGGAATTATCAGAACTTCAGGTTTACTGTAGCTAAATATGATAAATATTTGTTTTCCTTATTCATTTTACTATTATATGTTTAATTTTGTGTAGTACTAAATAATAATGCTTTAATATAAATTTAAGTTAACATTGACTTTATATGAATGATATATCTATCTTATATTCAATATTGCACTTGCTATCAATAGGTGCATCTCACAAGCTTCGACGAAAAATAATACATCCTCTTTTGAATCTTAAGTATTTATCCAAATATATAACATTTTTTGACAACTATAGCAATCTTTGTACAGACATTCTAGAAAAGAATGTCGATGGTCCAATGTTTGATCTTAAGCCGTATATAGCACAATATACGTTTAATATATTCTTAGGTGAGAATTATAGTGTATTTGATAAGGAATACTTTACCTATAGTTTGATTTATAATAAATTACTTTGATATATACACTTTTATTGTTATTATGATCTATGACATTTATGTTATTATGATTAAACGTGTGAAAATTTGATAAATTTTAATTCCCAGCGACAACTGTGGGTATTCAAGAAATAGCATATAAAGATGGACTCGACGTAATACATAAACAGAAAAAGTATGTAACTTTAATTGCCGTTAGCATTGGTATTCAATTTGATAATCTGTAATTGTTCCAGATTATTCGAAGACGCTTATATCAAACTCATAAAACCATGGTTACACTTAAATTGGATTTTTTCTCTGACTGAATATACAAAACAAATGTGTATTGCTCAAAAGACTGTATCAGATTTTATTTACAATGTAAACTTTAAATGTTTTTAAAAACTATTTGATGCGTATTTATATCATGTTCTCAAAGTTCATAAATTCGCTAAGTTAGTACGTATTTAATTCCTACGCTAGAATGTCTTTAAAATATTCTTATAGTAGTAATTGTATAGGTAATACTAATTCTAATATTTATTCAGTCCTCCATAACATTTAGAATTCACTTTGCAGCACATAAAATGGTTCTTTTGACAATGATCTACATATGACGGTTGAGAAACTTATAGCCAACAAATAAATTATCATAATCGGATATTCTCTTTACTAGCTAAATCTCTTTTTTTCTGTGACATATTTCTATTTAAAAAGAATACAAAAATTTGATTCTGTTTATGATTGCGAAAAAGATTTTGGTGCGCAATTTGCAGAGAAAGAACGTATATCAGATATGTACAATGTACATTGATATATGTACATTGTACATATTATCAATTAACATGGAAATAATTAAGATCCTTTGACCGAATAAAGAAATTCTCTTATTTAAAAGATGCAAATTTATTTTGTAATTTTATATGATAAAAGATGTGAAAAAATATTGTTTGGAAACGTATTATAATAATACAGTTGAAAACTTTAATAATTAAAAAAAATTACAAAAAAAGCCCAAAAAATATTTCAAAGCATGAAAAAATAGTGAAATTCATATATAACAAATACATTTTACTTCAAATTTTACCACACATAATATTACTTTAAATGAAACCACAATAATCTAGCTGTAAAATATTTATTAAACTATATCGCAAATTCATGAACTTTAGCATAAGACATCCATATTTCTATATGATATAATAGTGCTTTTATAATAAAAATATTTCATATAGAAATATAATCTACTGTTTTTTATAATTTAAATTGTTTTATCATTATTAATAGTATTATTAATAGTATTGTCATTTATATCTATATTATACACGGATGTATTATTGTATTTAATGTAGATATCACCAGGAAAGCCAGGAAATTATACTGCTTTACAATATAACAATAATTACAATATGACAATTTTCCAAGAATCAAAACCTATTTTTTACAATTATTGGGATCGTGTGGTACACATACGATCTAATGTTTCGAACAAATCCTGCGATGTCAGCGATGAAAATTTCTTAGATGACATTAGAAATTTTTTTGCTGCTGTAATTTTATTTATTATATAAAAATTCACACATATATATTTTATTACATTACAATTATCAAATCTGCAAATTATGTTTTTCAGGTTCAAAATACTATTACAGAAGTGACATCCTTTACTATGCTTATATTGGCAATACATACAGATGTACAAGTTAGTAAAATTATTACCACATACAATAAGCTTATTATATGTATAGAAATATATTGACTGTAAAAAAAACAACTGAAGATGATAGAAATATTTTATTTTTATTATATATATTCTAGAAGAGTAATTATAGTAATCACTTGTTCAGCATATTAATTGAGTTTATTTAAAAAATATTATTTAAGAGGTAACGCCACCCTTGAGGTTTAAAAATTCTTTTTGCTTTAATCATTAGTTTTAGTTATAGAAATATGATGCAAATATTTTTAGAACAATAGAACTGTGTTAGATCTGATTAAATTTTCAACTTTATACACAAAAATTTTACGTGCGTTTTTCTCAAAATACAGTTTTTCTTTGCGTACACCGGTATTCTTACAATTTTTATCCGATTGACGTAAAATTTTATCACAATCTTGTTGTATATATTTCTTCTGAAATACGTAGGCTATTTGTGAAATATTGAAAACTCTTTTTGCAATCAGCATTTTTTAAAACAAATTTTTGGGGCGAAAAATGTCTATAAACAACTGACATTTTGAAAAAAATTAATATTTTCAAAAATCCCTATGTACTTCAGAAGCTTATTATATGTAGATAATGGACATTTTTGTTGATTTGCTCCAGAATAAACCATCTCACAATAAACGTGCACGTAAATGTCTTTGTTTAAAAAAAAAAAAGTGATTTTGCAAGAAGGCCAATGTACCGCCATTTTGTGCATACAAAAAATTAAAAAATAATTTTTTTTGCTCTTCAATGTACGCACAGTAAAGTCTTGTAAGTAATTTTTAAATAAAATTATTTTTATTTATCTACAATAAATTCCCAAACTTAGGTATTATTTTAGAGTCTCAAGGGTGGCGTTATCCCTTAATTTGTTATTTTATTTTTTAGATAATCACTCGTTTTCGTTTTTATATTTTGTTTCCTAGGAAAAACTGCGACAAGAGATACTAGACACATTCAGTAATGATAAAGTTGATGCTCAACGACTTCTTAATATGCGATATTTTCATACAGTATTTCAAGAAACTTTAAGATTATTTCCTGTTACACCTCTCATTTCACGCCAACTTACAGGAGATATAAAACTTGGTATTTTATAGTATATCAGTTATTGAGTACATGCTTGTAAATTAATGGACTTTTATAATATTTTATCATAGTAATAAGTTACACGAAAAAGGGCTTTACTAATTTTAGAATCGTGTATTTTGCCGGAGGGATGTTACGTTATGATTCCAATATTTACTATTCATCGTAACCCTGCGTATTGGTATAAGCCGTTGGAATTTATCCCCGAACGATTTTCATCAACCCGTCATCGTTATACGTACATTCCGTTTGGTACGGGCCTTAGGGATTGCTTAGGTAAATATTTTCATATGACCATTTATTTTGAAAATTGTATATAAATTGGGAATTTTAGAAAATCCTGCCTTGATTGGAAATTCATAATGCATTACAATTTTTATTAAAATTCTCGATATTCATTTTCTTTTGTAATAATGCTTTCTAAAATTAGATTTATCTACTTGTGAGAATTCATAGACGATTTTTTTTATTTAAGATTATCTCAAGTACATATAGTTTTAAGATGCCATACCCAATTACATATAAACCAATTACTGTAATATTAGCATCTTACAAAAGATATTGCTTAAGACGGTCTTGAAATAAGAACCGATACCGACCATTGTCTTTAAATGAGTGAAATAAAAAAAGCTTCCCATAAATAAGCATATCCAACATAAGTAATTTGTTAAATAAGACATCTTATCGATTTGTTATGCTCTATTTTTTACCAAATTACTGCTGATAAAATTAATACTCACTTTATCTTTTTATATTTCGTATATTTAGGTCAAAGATATGCATTTTTTTCCGTGGCGACAATAATCGTAAATCTGTTGCGACGATTTCGATTTGAAACAGTTGGCAGCCTAAGTGACATTAAAATAACAACCGACATTGTATTACGACCTCGAGAAGTTAAAATATCTATGTCTCGCATATGAACTATTAATAACAGCGATTTTTACGGGGGGAGGGGTAACTAATTTTTTTAATTTTTTTTTATAATGCTTTAAAAGTTGTGTGTGCAATTAAAATACTTTTAGTATTAGAATAATATCACACATGAGAATATATTATAATAAATCATAAAAATGTACATTAATATTGCTACAATATCGGTATAATCTTTTGGAATTTAAAAAAAATGCAATGTGTTTAATAAATACAAAAAATACGTAATGATTTAACAACAAATTATGTGTCTATAGGTAAACAGCGTCACATTGCTTATACTCATTGTCAGAATTTTTGCTTTCTCTATTTTTAACACTCGAAAAAAAATGTATATTTTTTTTATTTTAACTTCAAAGCTTGTCAGGATTTCAAACAATGTAAACAGATTTAATTTTAATATTTTCTAGTTTGTTTAAAAGGATCATATGAATCCTGCTATCTTCTTTATTCATTATTTTAAAATTCACGATAAAATGATCGATTATGTCTTAAAAAAGCTCTATCTATGCATGTTGCTGGTGAAAGGTTATATGTATAATTATATATTATAATTTTTATTCATGTTAAAAATTTTAATATAGATTGTAATGTTAAAAAATGACATATATGTATTATGTATTTTAATAAATTCAATAAAGATTTATATTTAATATACACACAAGATTTATATTTAATATTGGAAGAATCTAAGAAACGAGATAATTCATCTATCTCTCTCCGTCTATCTGTATCGATATAAAAAAATCAATTTTTATAGTAAATGAGATTTTGATGGTTACGAAATGAGAGAACTGGACAAAGATACAATAGCTATATCGCGTTTCAGAATAGATAACACTTTAGAATTGACCGCAGCATGCGCAATGTATGAAGGTATAGTATCGCTTGCCATTTTTCAACTATCTCTGTACTTTTTGAATACCTTGAATATTTACACAAGCAATTCTTTAATTCGTTATCTTTATAATATAACAGTGAATAATTGCTCAAATGACTTTATATTTAATTATTAATATTAAGTATATATAATATATATATATACTTAATATTAAGGTATATATATACTTAATATTATATATATACTTTATATATATATAGTGTCATACATGTTATATAATATAAAAATAGAAAGTATATAATTATATCATAACGAGTAACTAATCATAAACGAAAATCTGCATATACCATGGCTAAATAATTACATTCTACAGTTTTATTTTAGCTTAATTTTAGCCAACTCAATAGAATTGTGTAAACCAAAAGATCCTGATTTATTAATTAGATGCAGAGACGTTTAATTAAAAACATTATTTGCCTCGGTAATTTGCGCTTGACATGTACGATAAACGATGTGTACATATTCATATTTGTTGTTACAATTTAATCACGATCATTGTAGATGTAGATCATAATACAACCTGTATTTATAATTAATTGAATTTATATGATAATTAATTGATCAGTCTTGCAATTTCTAAACATACAATACAATTGTGCCACCACTTTTTAAATAATTTTCTTTTAATTAAAAAATACTCTCTCTCTCTCTCTCTCTCTCTCTCTCTCTCTACATATATACATATATAAATTTACAAAACTTTATAACAATTTTTCATTATTATACATAGATTTGAAAATGTGTCGAAGACATTGTGTATCCAGAATATGTTTCTCATTTAGACAGAAATTGTCAAATTATTCCTTTTATTTAAATAATTTATTTAAATGAGGAGAGGTACTATCTTCCAATTAATAACTAATTAATCGAAAGTTAAAAGTGTATTTATAAATAATAATAAGCCTCAGTAGTCTAATTGGCTAGGACACTTGCGCATAAAGCAAGCGATCCGGGTTCGACTTCCGACCGAGGTAATATTTTTCGCAATAAATAGAATTATTATTTTCAGATTTTAATACAGCTTAACATCGATATTAAGATGCCAAAAGATCAATTAATTATTAAATTGTTAATCAATTTAATTCGTGATAGTACTGAGGTACTTTATTAGAGTTACGTTTCAAGACCGACAATTGTTCGGCGCGCAGAAAGACTACATATATCAGTATATAAATTCAAGCGAAATTATATATAAGCAACTAAGATCCAGCTAGACTGTTATAGGCTTCGTATTCGTATTAGTTATATTGTTACATTGACGGTTTTTAAAATTTAATATTGTGTATTTATAAAATACTGACTTTATGATAAGATGAATTATTCAAAGAAACTGATAAGTCTAATTTTGTTTTATTAATGTTGATAATATTAATAGTAATTGCAAATTTAAGTGGCTCTTATGAATAACAATTCAAATAGCAAATTGGCTAACGAGCCTTGCTGGATGTTCATAGCTAATTGTCTATCGTTTATTAATATAAATACAATAATTTACATATTAAATATTTATAAATAATGATAATATCCAACGTTTATTAAATATCGGTCATCCTCAATGTACATAAAATAAGTATAATTTCCCCCCCCCCCCCCCCCCTCTCTCTCTCTCTCTCTCTCTCTCTCTCTCTCTCTCTCTGTGTGTGTGTGTGCGTGTATGGTGTTAAACTCTTGTTATACATACTGATGGATGATCGTGTCTTGTAATATGTACAATGTATAATACATTGATATTTGAATGAATCTCGATGTAATAAGGACAATGTTTTCTCTATGTCCTAATCTTCGTGTTAACATTATAATTGAATCTTTTGTATCTTTGGAATTTTGTTGAGTAACTCGAATGGTACATGTTTTCTAGTTCAAATGTTATACATACAGATATGTAATTGAAATTATTACGGGAACTCAGTCTCTTTGACAATCAAGAATATAAAATATGTGTTAAATTTTAATCTGAACTTCATTTCATGAATTAGTTTAAAGAAGTCAATGCATTTTTAATTGGTTTAATAAAATTTTTTTTTCGTGTCTTTGATTGAAGATGGCAGCACTTTTTAGAATAATTGAATAATGTTTCGTATGCGCTAATTGTAACTTTAAGTGTAATTATTTAAAAATAATTAACTTCTACTAGTTATGTAATCATATATACATACACATATAATATTTAATGTAATATAAAATTATAGATTAAGAATTATAATTTTTTATAACATTATATTTTCATACGGACAATTAGTTAAAAAATTAACAACTTTTTACTGAAAAAACTAAGGCTCAAAATCTTAATCTAATGAACTAAAATAAAATATAAATTTATTTTAATTACAATTTGTATTGGTAACACATTCGCGTTTTATATTTAAGCTTTCCTATAGTTGGTAAGTGCAGAGAATATCCGACCGAACAAGAACTTATCGAACTGAGGTAAATCTAGAATCATGAATCAAATATGCTTAAGGATCAATTGAAATATACCTAATGCTTTAATTATTTAAAACACGTTTATTTTTAAGTTTGTCATTTTATTACTATGTAAAAGTATTATTATCTAGCATTCATCGTTAATACATCTATATACATACATTGTTAATATATCGTCTCTAAAGATAAAAAATCATTTATGTTTCCTAATATTTCATTTGTTGATAATTTAATAATACATAAATCTTTATGATTCCTCTTACGATCATAAATGTATACCTACTGCAGAATTCATCTTTAAGTAACAATTGAAAGCTACTTACATATTATTCTTAATCATATGTTTCGTTACAAATAAAAAGTTACTTTTTAAAACTTATTAAAAATAAAAGCGAGAAGGTTAATAATAAAATAAAAGGTTTCAACTAATTTTGTTGATTCTTCGTACAAATTTTTCGTTATTGATAAAATTCCTTTTATAGATTTTGTATTAAAATCAATCCCTAATTACATGTTATCAAATTTTATTATAAAATGAACATTAATAAATCATATTCCTTTATGCTTATTTCCTATTTTTATCTTATTTATTAAATAAACAGAACTTATTTTTGTTTTTAATTTAAAATTTAACCAACGTGTTAAAAATTAATTAAACAGAATAATAGCATCTGTAAATGCGTTAATTGTGAGAAAGTTCATGCACAATCAACAAAGTTTCTCCAGATTACCGATAATCTATTTCCAACTTCATTAATCTCGCAATAGCAACGAACTTATTACAGTTTAGTGTTTAGTTAATATCTGGATAGCGTGTACTTTCTCATTTACAAATAATTACTATTGAAAATCCATCAAGGACTTGATCAACATTTAAATACCTTTTAAATATGATACATACTTTCTTTTTTCAATGTTTTTTCAATATTTCGTTCATTGTTTATAATTTTTGTATTAATATAAATACATATTTGATACTGTTACGTTCCTTATCGTCTGACGTTTTGATTGAAAAAAAATTACAATATTTTTCTTTTAATGAAAGTTATAAGCAATTGAATTAAATAATTGAGTTTGGTTGCCATAACATAATGTGGTATTTAAAAGTTAGTATTTTTCTCATGCCAACAGACATGTGAAAAGTTCAAGTACAAAATACATAAAAGCTAGGAAAAGTAATTAAAAATTTTTGCTTAGTTACATTTTATATTTTTTAATATTATACTATATTTATATATGAAAATAGTGTCGTTAAAGTCTATCACACATCGTGTAAAATTCAACCAATAATATTTTGACACATTCTTTCCAAATGTGAAGATTAGAGAGGTTAGATGTAATCTGCAAAAATTTTTCCTGAAAAAACACACGAAGAGAATTTTAAACTAGCCAACAGCCCGTCTAATTTCTTGAATAAATCGAGAAATAAAGCGTCACGCCCAGCGAATAAAAATTCAAATTTGCCTACTTTATCTGATTACTTATTTCCTTATCCCATTAGAAAAATCGCTACGAATGGACCGAGTTAAAGGAATGTAAAGTGGAATCTTATAACGGAAGCGAGTCTGCATAATGAGAAATAAAAAGCGTCTAGCCAATGCGAAGAAGCGTCAAGAAATCTGATTTGCCTTATCTCTTTCTGAAAAGAATGATAAAACGATTTCGAATACATCGTGCATTGACCAGTCACAATT